TATGTAAATGTAATATTCTTGATTTATGGAATTGAACAATCCTTACATGTTTTAATTGCCGTATGGCTTGGTTATATGAATGAAATTTCAGTTTAGTTCAAAAAATATATAATCCATCCATTTGACAACAATCGTTTTTATTTTATTTTTTTGACTTTTAATATAAAAAGTTTAAATACAAATTTAACTCATAGTATATGAATAATCATTGATAATTTTTTATTAAATAAAAATACTGAACAATAATTATATATAAAGAAAATTTTTAATTAACATATATTAACTATGTTATATTTTTACTTGTATTTTTTTGTTTTAAAAATTAGAAAATCAAATTAAAATTAATATAATTAAAAGGATGGAGTATATAACTTAAATTTTATATTTAAATTATATTAAATTATAAAATAAAAACTATTTAATAAATAATAACTCCTAATAATATCAATAAATCTATTATTATCCAATAATTGGTATTACATATTTTAAAAATATAATTTTTCTATCAAATTTAAAATTTTAAAATTTTAATAAAGTAAATTTTTTTATTTTAATTATATAATAAGTGATAATTTTATTTCAATGAAATAAAATGAACACTACTTTTATCGTTGATATAAAATAAAATTTTTTTAAGTAAAACATAAAATAAATAATTAATAAATAAAAGTAGTTTATCTGTTTTATTTTTTAAAAATTAAAAAAAAATTAAAATTATGTCATTTTAATAAATATTTATTAAAAAATTAAAAATATTTTTTTATTTTTTTTCTCTTAATTTTTTGAAAATAAAACAAATAAACATTACCAGTATATATAATACTAGAAAATTGAGAGTTGTCACGCGCGCAACAATTGGGAGTTGGGGAAAGTGGCGGTGTTACACGGTTACCGGTACAAAGGTCAGTTGGGGTTTTGGGCCTTGGATACTGTCAGATGGCATGGCACACTTTCTTCGACTTCGAGTCTTTTCTTATTCTTTTCCACTCTTCTACTTCCATTACAGTACTACGGCCCAAAAGCAGAAACACACAAGTTTTCCCAATCCTCAATTTTTTTTTACTTTTACATGCAAGAACTAGTACTAGTAAACATAATCAGAAAAGAAAGATCGCCGAAATTAGAAAAGACATGTTACCCTGCAGAAATGGTCCTGATTTGACCAAAACGATGTTAAAGTTTATATAAATTTGTGTAATTTGGTTGGATACTTTCATTTTGACCCATCAATTTTCATGTCAGATAGCATTATATTAAAGTATGTGGGAAATATTGTATTTTTGGTACATCCACATGATTAACTATCTATCCATCAAAAGATAGATGTTAAGATAGAACTCTTTGAATGAGTTAATCAATAAATAGTATTTGTTATATTGAAAACGAAAGGAGAAGG